AGATTTCACTTAGTCTCCTCTTAATGAAGCATTTTTATTACATCTTTCTGTGGGGCAGGGACCTAAGCATTATTGATAGCCTACCTCAAGCCTCATCATCCTGTTGACGCTCTTTTATTCTAGAACATTGAGTTCGTAAATATGATCAACAGTCATAAGATGAGCAGTCTGAGGTTTGGGGAGAGTCAGTAATTTGGCCAGTTTCTCACAACTAGTACACGGAAGAATTGGAGAAGAATCCAGAACTCTTCAATTCCACTACATCATTTCCTCCAGTAAACCTTGCTTATTTTGTGTATGTATAAAGGGAGTCATTAAAGCTTCCTTTACACATACACGTATATTGTGATGTTTGTTAAGTTAGGTTTAGGTTCACTTTATTTAAATACATGCAAGGAAGGCAGAAATTGTCACACACAGGGCAAGGAACTTGTTGAAGTTGTCTAAACTGTGTCAGACAGAGAACCCTGTTGTACAGATTTCATGGGACACTGCATTCTCAGTGATGTTTCCAGTATCCACAACCACCAGCAAGCATTCTATACCTGCTCGGGCCTACAGGCTAGTAATCATAGTATTGACATCAAGAGTAATAATAACAATAGCAGCAGTACTAATTTTAATAGCATTAATTTTTATCATTCTAAAAATAGCAAATTTTTCTTGAGTGCCTATTACATATCCTCACTATATTAAGCAGATGGTTATTATTAAAAAAGTCCAGATAAGTATCATTAGGTAGCTACTCCATCCCCCTACTTTGCAAATAGGACAATGCACACCCAGAAAGGACGACCTGCTCAAGCCACACAGATAGGAAGGGACAGAGCTGGTGTGCAGCTGAGCTACTGACTCCAGAGCCCACGCTCTTGCTCATGTCCCTCCAGCTGCTGAGTCACCGTGATGAGCCACGGGCAGCTTGCCTCTCACCATCTGCCCAACTTCCCGCTGGTTTTCTTGGCTTCAACAATTCAGTTTAGCTGCTCCTGTTATGTGTTAGTTCCTCTCTTCACAGTTGGCACACTTAAATTAAATCACCCCTAAAAAATAATCCCACCCCAAATTTCAATTTGGGAGCACAGAACTCAGTCTGTCTTACTTGTCTTTGGATTACAGAGTTTAGCACAATGGACAGTTTGCACAACAAAGTTCAAAATGCTTCACATTTTTCATTAGTCTCTCTTCTTATTCAGAGCATCCACCTTGCAGAATATTTATTTATCATGTGTAATAGCAGCTAACAGTTATGGAGCACTTATTCTGTGTCAGACTTGATTTTTATAGATAATTCTAATTTAATCCAAAAAATCACCCATTTAATAGAGTCTTAGAAATGTTAAGCAATTTTCACAGTAGTACACACTTAGTACGTATGCAATCTAGGATGTAAATCTGTTATTGTTGACACTGTTTTTCTAAAACTAAAGCACCACTCACATTGTTTCTGTGTAAGTAACTGCTGCGGTGCAGGTTCCTTTGAGTTCTCTGCTGCCATGTGTTTACTGATAACTCAAATCTCCCCCGCACTTTTATTGATCTAAAACCCTGGGGATCATTCTTTTTGTGGTGACTTCATTTGCTGTTTCTTGGAGTGAGCACAACGCCCACGTCTTTAGTCAGCCTTCTTTGTTGACCCACAGTCGAAGAAGCAATACAGGGAGCCCACCTGACTTTAACGCAAACATAAACACATATGGTGAAATGAGATTTGATAGGATTCAGTGTAAAATGACTTGTATAATTTTGGGTAAAAGAAAAAAGTAATAAACTTAATGGGAAAATACTCTCATAGATTACCTAAAATGGCCTCAGAATGGGTTGGATGAGAGTGCTTTATGAGATTGTATTTGATCAAATTGACTTTAATTCCTCTATTACAACATAGTCACACTTGATAGCATCAGCCTTATAGAATATTAATTTACTAAAACATGGTACTATATAAACATCATTTATTAAACACTTAATATGTGTCAGATACTATCCTTTCTGGGCATTTTCTGATTTACTCCTAACAATATAGTGAAGTAGAGCATGAGTATTGCCATTTTATGCAAGAGTAAGAGGAGGCAAGCTGAGTCGTTGGCTGAGTGGCTTGCTCTGGGTTGCCTGGTTCAGAAATAGATGGGACCACAGGCTTCCCCTTTCCTGAAGGAAGGTGCTATCGGCACAGGAACACAGCTGCAAAGCTTTTGTCTGTTATAGTCCAGATCTAGGATGAGACCAGATTTTCTGCAGATACACAAGGCTGTTCTCCTGCCATCCCTAGAAAAAGGGAAGTGGTGCTGGGGGGTGGGCAGCGTCTCTCTCCTGGGTCTTGTGGGTCCATGCTGACAAGTAAGTGAGCCTCTCATGAGCGTGAGGGAGTCCTGGAGGGTAGCATGCAACCCACCACCTGTGTCAAGTCCCCAGGCACGGGGGAAAGTGAACCTTAGAGAAATAAAGAAGCTTGTCCAGGATTACACAGCCTGTGTGAGATCTAGGATTTAAAATCAGATCCTTCGCTTTCCAAAGCCAGTGCACTTGACAACTAGATAAATCATATGTGCATTAACCTTTTAAGTATTTTTTGACACTTGTTGATAGAGATTTCTACTAGATATTGGGTATAGGGAGAAATTGTAAAATAATATATACTTTAAATAATACAAGATTATTTTGTATACTATTTTTGCTCTCTAACATTAGGTTTATTAACACAATCCTTTCACTCTACAGAGCAAAGTACAAACACAACATTATCTAAGTTGCTGCAGAGTTACAAAACTCAAAGCAAAAAATTTATAGTACTGCCTATACAATAAAAGCCAAAAAAACAGTGTACACATGGCTAAGATAACCCACAAGACCACCATGAATAACAGCCACAACAGGGCGTCTGTGATGACCCCACAGAGCTAGCCGTCGACTTGCTCACCATTGGGAAAGAGAGAGAGAGAGAGAGAGAGAGAGAGAGAGAGAGAGAGAGAGAGAGGTGGAATGTGGGTGTGTATGCATGAGTACATGTGAAAACAGAACAATTTATGGCAACTAATACGGTCTTCTGACCCTAGATCAGAAGAGGCAATGTTATGAACGTTGTACAAACTCAATGTAAATTATTGTGGCATGAGTGTATGTAGCATGTGAGGGATAAGTGACTGATAAATTGATATTAATGTAGGAAAAATGATAGCAATAGATTTTGAAACAAAGATGTAGACATTTCACATGGAGGCTGGGCGGATAGTCCAAAGAGGAGGAGGGGTGTATCCCAGTCCAGCACAGGAATGAGGACTGCCTAGAGGGTCAGTTTGTATTTGAGAATGGTCACTCAGACTGAAATGCTGGGTGCAGGTTGGAGGCGGCAGCTCAGTCAGGAGACTTCTGAACTCCCTTGTGAAGTGATGATAGAGCCTCAAACTGAAGGACCAGGATTCAGGAGAGCAGGTTCTCTTGACTAGCATCGTGTTAAAAATATGCTGGGGATATCAGATCAAGAGAGCTTAGTGATTGTGTGTGAAGGACACTGAGTTATCAGATTTGAAGAACTCTCTGGAAGGTGGTGCCATTTACTGGGAGGGGGCACTGGAGAAAAAACGAGTTCCAAAAGGGCACAAGAAAGAGAATTAATTCCCTTGTTGACGCAATTGAATTCAAGTGCCTGTGAAATTGAAAGGTTGGAACTCTAAACCCTCTGGATTGAAGATATTTAATTGCAATCTATTTAAATATCATTTTTTTTGTTATTAAATCATAACATTTCCACTTTTGGCATTACTGTTAATAATAAAAGTATGAAGTTCTGTGTTTGAACGACTACTCATGTCTTTGAAGAGCAGAAATGTATTTCTATCATAATTAAAGCGAATCCTCTATACCGTTTTTCAAGTAGTGTGCATTTTTATGCCAGGCTCTGCTTGTACTTCATACACGTGTTTGCTGAGAGTATAGGTGGAAGCTGGTCCTGTGAATGTTGCAGGGAGAGTGGCTATTGCAAGAACCACACATACTTTTACTGCTCTCTATCCCAATGAGTTAGAGCAGTAACTTGTTACGAAGGAGCATCAAGTGAATGGGAAATCCATATCAAAGAAGATGTTTTATTTTATTTCAGTAAATGTGAAGTTGTTCCTTGGTTAATGAGAGACATAGGAGTTAAATTTTATGGGTTCAAAGGGAAAGCATAAATTTCAGATGTCTTAGCCATACCAGTTCTGAACATGTTTACAGACCTAGACAAGAGATGTATGTAATGAAATAACTTGTGGAGGAAAGAAAATGTTTGATGATAAAGAAATAGTACTCTATTGAATGTCCCAAAGGAAAGTAAGGAAAGGCAGGGAAAGGAAAATAACTGGGTGAAAGTATGTCTGAGATGTCCTTAGGAAGCAGCAATCAAGCCACAGGAGATAATGGTATTTAATTAGGGATGAATTGCTGAGACAATTGCCCTTAGTAAATTCTAAGTTTCTTTTCTCTAGTTCTTATGTGAACACCCTCATTTTGCAATCCATGATTATCCCTTCCTCATCCTCAATGAAATAAGATCATCCAACTGCCCAGCCATGCTGAACTCATTTCCACCTCTCTCACGTGCCATGATTTTGTGATTTATCTAGACGTAGGGTGTTTGGACTGTGCCTCAGATGATTGCCATGCCTCCAGCTTTCCTTCCATCAGAGGCGTCCAGCCTGCGGCCTGGGCCGCGTGCAGCCAGGGGTTGGCTGTGAATGCGGCCCAACACAGCGTTGCCAGTTTACTTAAAACATGAGATTTTTGTGTGTGTGTGTGTGTGTGCAGTTGTGTCACAGTGTATTTAATGTGTGGCCTGAGACAACTCTTCTTCTTCCAGTGTGACCCAGAGAAGCCAAAAGGTGGGACACCCGATAATCCTTTCACACATCACCTTTTCTCAGCACAGAAATCACTGTTCCTGACAACTTCTCCGACACCCCACATTTAGGTCAGAGGACATTTCCACCGCCCTGGGAACAGCTGGCCTGCTCCCAGTCACATCATGCTCACCTTACACTCTGTCATAGTTGGGTGGTCCTTTTTCTCCTGTTATTCTTCTGTACAAAGGGAGGAATGAAAGAGGTGGCTAGGTGAGCCTCAGGAAGGCTTTTCCCAGCAGCTGAGTGGTGTATTCAGCCTGGTAAATCCCAGGCACAAAACACAGGGAGAACTGAGTGAGACTGGAAGAGAAGAAATGTATAGAAGTGTTCACTGTGTATATTGCTTAAATGCAGACTTCAAGAGAAAATCATCAATTCTATTTAATAAATGGCACAGGTCAATAATTATAAAACTTGCATTAACTTTTTAAAGGTAGAAATGTGCATTTTATAATGTAAAAAATTTTGAAACTTGGGACTACTAACATCATTAGATTTCAATTTAGAAAACATATTAATAAGAAATATGAGAAACTGGCATGAGAAGTACAAATACTCACCTGAAAAAACCCCTGATAGAGCTAGGTAACTGTTTTGTCTTTTTAGGATGCTGATTTCTCATACCACGTATCTGGTTTGGGGAAAAAATAAAAAGCAATAAATTTGTTAAGAGTCACTATAAAGAGCAATTATAATTGAATTCAATACCTATTTTTTAAACTACTTCCATGAGTTAACTGCTAAAATCTTGACCCAGGTGAATTAAGTACAGTCCTTGCTCTCATATTGTTTATCAGCTAATACTGTAGCTGAGCAATTCAATTTTATGTCAAAATTTATAACAAAGATAGATTCTGGTCAGCCGAAAATCAAAGAGGGTAAATTCTCATTTTTTTTTGCAAAGTTTATAGACTAAAGATTTTAATTTAATGGTGAGTAAAATTATATTCAAGTTAAAATAAGGTTAACTATTAAAGTACCAGAAAATAAATAAACTATGAAAAATCCTTCAAAATTATGTCAAAAGAGCCAGCTGAGGAGGCTCTCACTGACCAAAGATGGAAATATTTTAGCACCCATAAGGATAGTACCTGCAGTTTTGAGACATTAAGTATGTGTAAGTGAATGGGTTCATAATAATACAAAAAGATCACATTGGCCATTTCTGAGAGATATTAAGGAACCAGCTTATTATTTTGAAAACTAATAAATAAAAAGAAAACATAAAACATTTATTCTACTTTTCCTATGTAATCTAGACCTCAAGGTAGCCACAAAGAAGACTAGAGGGAATTTCTCTTTTAAGATATATTCCAGGTAATAAATAAAGAAAGAATAATAGAATTAGTATATGCCCACTTTATAATCCTAAATATTAATAGACCAAGTCAATTATTAGAAAGCTCATAAAAAGACAATTTGCTGTTCAGTACCAGTCATAGCAGAGTAGCTTTTATTGGACTATCTTGCTGCTCATAGTGATTATAACTCCTGGATAAAACATATATATTTAAAAAACTGCTTCAGGGCTTTGAAGTTTAACTTTTACAACCAGCAGAAACTTGAGAAGACTTGATTTTTAAAAGAAGGAAAATAAACTCCAGGAGATACACATTTAACTAACTTTGTCCTAAAAACACATCCCAGCTTGCAGGAAATCATAAAGCTTTTCCTAGATGGGGGAGACAGAGATCAAAATTCAAGGTTGCCAGCGTGGCGAGCAATTTAGATTGGAATACTGAAACAGGGGAGAAGGAGGAGCAGAGACCCAGCTCCTGCGTAGTACAAACTTCCCTTAGCTCTTCCGCTGGTTCCTGCACTACACGTGCCCCAGGTGAGGCACCAAGGACCCAGGGAAAGCCGGAACTGGGGGATTAAAGTCCTGAAGATTACAGCGTTTTCGTGGAGCTGGGAAGTCCACTTTTGGAATTGAAGTCCTGCCAAGTTAGAGGGACTTGTTAAATACCTTAGGCTTTTAACTGGAAAAAAAAAAAAAGAAAAGAAAAGAAAAGGAAAGGAAAGGCATTGCCTTAGGAGTAAAGACCACACTGGAAGACCAGGTGTTATGCCTGAGGGCAAAGGACAAACCAAAACAGAGGTGTCCCCACAAAGCTTGGAGGCAGGCAGTCACTGGGTCAGGGTGATCTGGCAGCAGTTCAGCTTCCTGAGGAGCCCTTCCGTTTACTTCCTGGCAGAGCCACCCATCCTTCCCCAGTCTCCCCCACCCTGTCAGCTCTCCTCACCTTCTCCCCCTCCCAACTTGTCCTTCTTTCCTGACTGTAGACATTTACATAAGTGGTCATCTACTCAGCTTAAATATCACTTCCTTCAGAGATGTCATCTCTGTTCAAATCTCTCATACAACCTGTCCTTTTCCTTCATGCTCCACTTAAAATTTGTCATTATATATCTCTGCACGTGGGATGAGTTGCCTGATCTTTTTCTTCAGATGGGAGGACCCTGGGGATAGAATGCGTTCACTATTGCAACGCCAGCTCCTGCTGTGGGAGGTAGCTTAGTACCTATTTGTTAAGTGGATGAGTTAAGAAAAACACCTAATTAGCTATAATACAAACCATAAAATTAATAAATATATAAAATTTACAAATTTATTATACTCATACAGTAGTAATTGATTAAAGGAGAAATATCTGAGACAAACATATGAGATTTCAAACATTTGTTATTATTAAATGATAATACAAATCTTACTAATTGTTGAGGTATTTTGGTACTTCCATTTGATACCCCGAGCTCTGTGTGTGTGTGTGTGTGTGTGTGTGTGTGTGTAGTATGAGAGGCTGGAATTATTCTCCATGTATTCCGTAAGGACATTGAGAATACATATGTGAGTTCTGTAATATTTATTACAAAAATATAAGAAACAGAAATACAACTTACATCCTCCAATGACACATTCTACTGTCCTTGACATAGAAGATGTTACCAATGTCAAATCCATTTAAAAGGCTAATTTAGATTGATATTTACGGGGCAGCGATCATGTTTGTTCCCATGATCTCCTGGAGTGTTGTCACTGACCTTAGCTCGAGCTATTTAAAGCCACCATAGTAAAGTCACCTCTTCCCTGTGGTTACAGGCAGCATTTGGTCCTGTGTCTTCTTCCTTTTTATTGAATTAATTTTAGTTGTCTTAAACTTAAGAGTCCCTTAAATCATTCTGTATTCTTTTATGCTACTATGCAAAAATAGTACAACCTATTTCCTGTTGATTTCTCAAGTGCTTGGTCTCTTCCCTCCGTCTCTTTAAAACCCAGTTCAGTAATGCAGATCTCAAGTGCCTATACATCATGCTGTTGCTTTAATATTTCACTGTATAATAGTTTAACAGTGACTTAGTCCGATTTATGTTTTTAGAAGTCAAAACTGGACCTCTGTTCGTTCAGTAATTCATAGCTAGCAATTTTCAAATAAACAACACGACCAGAGTTGAAGGCTAGCTTCATGTTTAGGCAAGAAGAGGTTGGCCCGTCGCCCTCTCCAGCACTAGCTCTCTTTTTCCATTTATATTTTTGAGGTGATTTCCAAAGAATTAATAGGAGAAGACTCTCATGTTTTTTCTAAGAAGTCTTTCATGACCTTCAAATGAAGTCAATTGTCTATTATTCAAGAATTCGTGTTCCGGATTACTCATTTTCTATTCCAGCTTTTTTCTTTTATGTTTCTTATTTTTTATTGTTGTGCAATTACAGTTGTCCTCACTTTCCCCCCCATTACTCTCTTTTTTAAGTTTCTTAGTCAACTGACCTCATCGATAATGTGATGATTCATAGTTTAAGTCAGAGAATCAATTCCTCTCTGAAGCATCTTTCAGGGACAAGTCACTACCACCTCCACAATTTCCTGCAGGTATCGCCTACACTATAGTAAAGAAAACATATTTATTTTCCTTGGTACAATTCAGTATGCAACGAGCTTAGTCATTTTCGGAGAATAGGTTTCTGTCACCTTCTTGTTCTTCCTGTCAGATAACCTCCCTGCTGTCATTTGCCCCAGGATCACTCAGGAAGTTCTGTTCCTGGGTACCGCTCGGGCAGAGCCCAGGATGATGAATGTTTTGGGGGACCCCCCAAAAGCTTCTCCCCAGTTGGTTCTAACACAGTGGGGCCATGGGACTCAATTTAAGACACCATGCCCTTGGATAGGCTTTCCTTAGTAATTTACTTGGAGGGTGAGGTGAAACACTGCATTTTCAGTGGCAACCTCCCTCAATTTGAGAAGCTTCCAACTTCTGGAGCCAGGGGCAGGACGCAGGAGTGAGGGGTGAAGATGTGAAGTACGCAGCGGCAGAAAAGCTGTTTGCTGCTCATGGAGGTAAAGCCCTTCTGCAGTTCAGATGCCATTCTTCTCTGAGGCTTAGGGGATCGGCTCCTCTTGTACCCATCAGAAATCACTTGGGAGCCAGTCCTGCCGCAGAAGCAAACCTCCTTTGGGGAGAAAAAGTGCTTTGTTTTTATGCATTGCTACGTCTTCCCCTGGGTTCTCCCCTGGGTTCCTCTGGGTACTCTCAGAGTATGTGCTGCAGGAAGGAGCACAGAATACACATCAGCAATACCCCTTCTGACTCAACTCCCTGAAAGAAATTTGAATATTTTCTATTGGAAAACCCTGCATTCCATAGAAGATAGTGTTTCCGAATCATTCCAGTAAAGCAGACCGTGCCTCTTTCCTGGGGTCACAGGGAGAATTCGATACGAGAGCAGGGCCCGCAATCTTTGTGAGTCTCTTCTTTCTTTGATTCCTGCTATAAATGAGAAGATTTGAGATGGAGGTATTCACTGAGGAGGATTCAGGTCGCTGACAATTGCCATGGTAAGTCAGCCCAGGCATTCGCTGACAGGCAGAGAAAAAGCCACAGAACCCACAGATGGTTCAAAGTCATTCTCGCTGTGTAACCCGGCAGTGACATTGATAATTGAGCAATACTTGTGCACTTTAGAAATTCATTATTTTTTAAAGAGACCACTTTTAAAAATTAAGTACACCAAATATATTTATTGCACTTTTCTGTACCTCTTCCCTTGCCCCATAGTCTAATTACAAGTAATAGTATTATCATTAGGAGCAGCTAACATTCATTGAATTCTAATCATGTGCCAACAACTCTTCCAAAAATTATGCCGATATACATTCAGTCAACAATCCTATGAAGGGTATAGTGTGATTATTCCCATGTTACAGATGAGAAAACAGGGGAGAAGAGGTTAAGTAGCTTGCTGTGACAGAGAAAATAATGCCCTGACACCTATAGATATGTTACATCATATGTCACGGGTACATTGCAGATGTGATTGGAGTACGGAGTTTGAGGTGGGGAGAGTATCCTGGATGATCCAGGTGGACCCAGTGTCATCACACGGGTCCTCATGAGAGAGGTGGAAGGATCAGACTCAGAGAAGGAGATGTGACTGTCTCAGAATAGTTTGCAACTTGTTGCTGGGGTTCATGCCCTCCACATGGTGAGCCCTGGTATGGCAGGGCTGTGTCATTAGTATTGACATAATCCAACCGTTAAAAATGTGACCTCTATTAATAAGCATTCCAATGAACAAATCTGCAATTAGAAAAATAATTTTTCTTTCATTTAGGTAATAGTCGCCTCCTACATCTTTGGACTATAGGTATTTTACTATTACAAATTTTGTTAACTTCTGATTTCCAAATTTTCCTATAGTCATTTTTCCAATACCTCTACTTCTCCTATTTATACAATTAAACTGTGTACAAAAGATTCTTTTCCCAAAAGTGTTTGACATAATATAGAAATAAATGTATTATTGACTATTAATTTAAATATATTATTTTGGATACTTAATATAGTGTTTCTATCTAAGTAATTATTGTGTTGTATTAATTTTATTAATGGTGTATACTCAGATCTCCTATAGGTTAGATTTAATGTAAAGAAATGTTAAAAATCATCTGAACTTTTTCTTTTGTGAGAATGTTTTGCATTGGCAGTGCTCTATTGAGTTCAAAATCTGAAAATCTTTGTGGAACAGTGAAAATAAATTCACTATACCAGTGATGGCTAAGACTTGAAATGTTTCTTTTCCAGACAGTGACAGGAAGTTCAAATGTGCTTTTTAAGACAGTAATGTTAAAAGTAAAATTTTCAAAAATGTAAAAGCATGACTCTCATTCAAACATAGAATAAACACTTATCAAAGACGTATGTGATTCATTAATGAAGGAATCAGAAGGATGGTAAAGCTAGTCCAAAGAAAATTCAAGGGACCAAATGCACATAGGAATCCAAGAAAGAATGTTGGGTTACTGTTACTGGGTTAGGTACACAAACAGTTAATGTCCATTAGGGCAATAAAAAACCCCATAACCTTTGGGGATGTATTTTCTATCAGACAGAAGTCATTTGAATCTCTACTGGGAAAAACATCTACCAATTAAAATGTTACTTAACAGATTGTGGCCCTAATCAGTAATGAATAGTAAAATCAGACATTTATTAATTTTAGAATTAAATAATCTTTAGACAGGGATTTCTTAGAAAATGCTCAGTATGACATTAAAGGATGTGAAGTTCTGTCTTTGATTTATTTTCCAGTTTCTCCAATTTTTCATAACAGTGGTAAGATCGCTTTCAAGAGAGACTCTATACCTATCTTTCCCGCCAAATCTTTGGAGTGAGTGTTAGATGCTGATGATGATACATTGATTTCAAATTCTCTCTCTCTCTTTCTAAAGATTGTTTTTTCTTTCAGATAGTTTCAGATTTGTATATCCTTAATTTTATGTGTCATAAATTAGTGTTTTATGATTATTGTTTGAAATCATATGCCTTTTACATATCAGATACATTATATAAATAGCTTTTAATAACAGTGACTTATAGCCATTCTATCAAAAGTAATACTAGTAGGAATCATCTAAATATTTTTCTTTTATGAGAATTGTGTGTGTGTGTGTGTGTAGTCTGTCCAGAAGGTATCCCGCCTTGTAATATTGTACATAGGACAAGGATGCCTCAGTCCCCTCAAAATAGGCACCTTGGGACCTCACACAGTTCTCCCAGTGCCATTAGCTAACCCACCATATTTTCTTGAATCTCATCAATGGTCTGAAATCTCTCCCCTTTCAAAGGTGATTTTAATTTTGGGAAAAGCCAAAAGTTGCAAGGTGCCAAATCTGGGGTATAGTGGGCCTGAATCACCTGGGTGATTTGATATTTCACAAAAATCTCTGCATGAGATGTCATGCACGAGTAGGCACGTTGTTGTAATGAAGCTGCCAATCTCCAGTTGTCCATAGCTGCAGCCTTCTGAATCATCTGAATAGTTCCCATGGAGGAATGTTCAAGCTTAACACAAAATTTGATGTAGATTTGTTGCTGTACTCACTCAGTCATTTTGAATGTGATGGCCACATAGTATACATGCTGTCTCAATTCACCTACCATCCTCCACTGACTGGTACAGTGAAGTCATCATTGTTCATGCCTGTATGTTCCGGTCCATTCTCTTTGGCTGCCAGGTTACATCAATATTGTGCAAAGCTTTCTCATTATATTAACAATGGCTGGGCTTTTTCTGGACAGACCTCCTGTGTATTGCATGTATGTAATCCTGTACTGACAAGGTACTCACATTCTGAATTATGTTTATTTACCTTTTTTTCCCTTGAGGGGTGTTGTGCACATGCATGTGAATCTATGATGTGATTGTAGCCAGTTTGTTGTTTCCTCTACTTCATTGCTTCCTGGCTTTCAGGCCCCTTTTTGCAAGGCCAACGCTCTCAGCCTACTTCCGCCTTCTGCGGGCTATATTCCTGACTGTCCCTGTAGTTGCCCAGCAATCCTCAGAGCTTCCTTTCTCAACAGCAAGGGAGAGAATGTCTTGGGAAAATGTCCAGGCCTCTTAGAAAGAAATGTCCTAAGAATAATTCTCATCTATGAAGATAAGAATTGAACTTAAAGACCATGGAGAGCAGGAAATTATTGATTATAATCTACTTTAGTGCCAGGGCTCTAG